AGTTACAATTTCTAAGGTGCTAGTAGATAGAAGAAAAGAAGTCTTCTTCTGAAAAAAGAAGACTGAAGATTGTTGGTTTCAGACTGCAGTTATTTATTAAATGTTATTTAAAGTTTCATTCATAGTGGCTAGAAGTCTAAAAGTATACTCTCATAGAATATTACATATAATGCCTTGTGATATTCTTATTATAATTAACTTTCAAACAGACTTATAATTTACATCCCATCATAAAAAGATAATTAGAGTAAAAGCTAATGAGCATGAAATTCTCATTAAATTCAGGTCAGTCTAAGTCATAAAATCTTTTAAAAAGGAAAAAACCAGACTCTTCCTCTGAAAGTAAACTTTTTTGACAAACCCTTTCTGGAGAGAGAATTTCTTAAATCAAAAAGCAGCTTCTGGAATTAATAATTCATGTATCATAGTGATCCTCAAAAGACTTTGCAGAAAACCTCAAATCACCTTGTAGTTTGGGAAAGGGAAGCATAGGAAGAAATGTTCTTCAGCTATCCAGATTGCACAACTACAATATAGATTTTAGAATAGAAAATCAAAAGCAAAAACAAAAACAAAAAAAACCCCAAAGTGATATTTTTAACTGAAATTAAATTATAATTAGAACAATTCATCCAGAACTGGAGTAATGGATTCTTCAGACCCTTCGGAACATCACTTCTGTATTCTTGAACTTTGATCATTGTTGAATGTATTTCAAAGTCATGCTGCTGCTGGATAAGCTGAACTTCTGCCCCAGTGACCAGGTTGTTGACATTCTAGTACTGTTAAGTAAGTGGAAGTAGATATATATTAATTTCAAACAAGGTTTAGCCACTGAAAGTCTCTTTTCTAGGCATAGTGTGGAGTTGGGACTCTATTATGACAACAGATCCTCCTTGTATTTTTAGTATTTAGTATTTATTTGATTTGTCAATCGCTTACAAGATACAGGTATAAGAATAAACATAGTTTTGAATACATGAGATAGATACTTATAAGAAAAATAAAAAGAAACAATAGGACAGGGATGGTAGGCATGATTGGTGCGCTTATGCACGCCCCCTACAGGCCTCTTAGGAAGCGGGTGAAGTCAATTGTAGACATTCTAAGGTTAAAGTTTTGGGGGAAGAAACCACGGAGTCAGGTAGAGTATTCCAAACATTGACCACTCTGTTGCTGAAGTTGTATTTTCTGCAATCAAGTTTGGTGCGATTAACCTTGAGTTTGTATCTATTGTTTGCTCTTGTATTGTTATGGTTGAAGCTGAAGTATTCATTGACAGGTAGGACATTGCAATGTATGATTTTATATACTATACTTAGATCGGACTGGAGGCGGCGTAGGTTTTCTAGGTCTAGAATTTCAAGTCTGGTGGCATAAGGTATTCTGCAATGAGTAGAGGAGCAGAGAACTCTTCTTGTAAAATATTTCTGGACTTTTTCAATTTTGTTAATATCAGATACATGATATGGGTTCCAGACTGATGAGCTGTATTCAAGTATAGGTCTAGCAAATGTTTTGTATGTTCTAGTTAGTAGTGTGATATTACCAGAGAAGAAGCTACATAGGATTAGATTAACAACTCTTAATGCCTTTTTGGCTATGTGGGCTCTAGCACTTAGATCATTAGAGATGAATACTCCAAGGTCCTTGACAAAGTTTGGATCCTCAGCAAGGTCTTGATTATTTAGCTTGTATTTTATTTTCTGGTATTTTTTTTTGCCAATATGTAAGACAGAGCATTTATTTATTGAGATTTGAAGTTGCCATTTGATTGACCATTCTGATACATAGTTAAGATCTTTTTTGGAGGGTAGTAGTATTGTCTGTGATGTTGAATAGCTTTACAACATCAGCAAAGAGAACGCAGTTGCTCTTAATATGATCACAGAGGTCATTTAATTTATATTAATTTAAAAGTTTACAGGCGCGCATCATGCATCTTGCTATAAAGCTGTGACCATGGTTGAGCTAATGAACAGAAAACGTTGGTCATGAAGTACCATTGTACTGCTCTCTACTTTGTGTTTTAACTATATCTTTCTGCCCTCCTTTTAAATTGAACTGTACCTGAAAATACATGGGGTATGTAAAATTATTAAATAGCAGCATTCCTAATATTGGGGGATTGAAGATCAATTTCAGTGCTCCATTCTGTTCACAGTAAATTAGTTACAGATTTAGTGCTTTAACTTTTCACTATAATGTCAGATTTGACAAGTTCCAGTATTGTTTTTATGTGCATGTGTACACACTCACATGCATTACCTTTTGATTATCCAGGGCCAGAGGTGGTATTCAATAGGTTCTGACCAGTTCTGGAGAACTGGTAGCAGAAATTTTGAATAGTTCGGAGAACTGGCAAATACCACCTCTGACTGACCCCACCCTCATTTATTCTCTGCCTCCCAAGTCCCAGCTGATCGGCTGGGTCTTCTTTTGTCACCCTGCACAGGAGGACGGAGCTGGAAAGCAGGTTAGTGGGGTGGGGAGGGAATGGGGATTTTGTAGCATCCTTCCCCTGGAGTAGGTTGGGAATGGAGATTTTATAATATCCTTCCCCTGCCACACCCACCAAGCCATGCCCACCAAGCCTCACCCAAAGAACTGGTAGCAATAGTTTTTGAATCCCACCACTGTCCAGGGCAGTATCTTCTAGTTCTCTTACTGATTCCAAAAGTTAGTGACCCTGGCCTCTGCATTTTTTCCAGTTTATCAGCATCACTTTGTCAGAATAATGTACTTTTTCCTTATGTTACAAGACAAAGAGCAACGAGAACCCAATACAATTGATGCGATCTTAGAGTTAGTATGTGCAGTATCTTTTCAATACTATAAAACTGTCTCTTATGTTTAAATGAAATGATTTTCACACCTCTGTTATGCATTAGTCGTCCTTGAGGTTAATTTAAAACATTGTTAATCTGAGGAAAAAACAGCAGATAACGGATAGTGTTCGTTTGTACTATGATCCATTTTTTTAATTGAAGGGAAGACCTGTTGAATTCAGTGAAGCTTATGCCTTAAAAATGCTTAAGATTTTTTTTTTTGCTTGTTCCAATAATTACCTTAAAGAAACAGGTAACTGATTTTCTAAAATTTACACCAGTTCCCTCTCCATTATGTACACTTGCTGTTGCTTTGATACCTTGCTTCCTCCTTTAAAAAACTCTATATGGTACATAACTGTATATATATGTTATTAATATATAGAATGGATCAATTACTTCACAAACTTCTAATTTAATATATATATTTTTAAAATCGGGATTATTATTTTTTTTTGGATGGGTATGGTTAAACTTCTGTGAATATTGGAATAGGCTCTTCATGGTCTAAATGAATCAGACTCTAAACTTTTATCTGAATCCATGGTGCTCAAATATAAATGGAAAGGATCACAACTATAGGGAGAGGACCTATACTGTAAAGGCCTTTCTGCATAGATTATGAACATAATAACTCAGTAATTCTTTTCCAAAACTATAGTTATAATTAGACCCAATGGGGGTCTCTGTCTTTGATCATATCACAGTAACTGTGACTTTACATTGGAAAATGTCACTACTGTGAAAGTTTATCACCTGTAGAGTTAGTCTTTTCTCCGATGCCATGTTCAGCTCTCATTAGCATTATTCAGAGTTGCATTGTTAATTAGATTGATGCTTCAATTACAATAATCATTGTCAAGAATAATCATGGCTGCTTATCTGAAGAAAAAAGAATATTCACTGTTGTAGATTTAAAAAAAAAACACATTTGTTTTAGTAATGCCTTTTGATTTTCATAGATAAATATAATGCTAGCTGAGATTTTGCATAAGCTGCACTCAGTGATATTTGCAACCTGTGAACTTGTCTGCAAAATAAGAATCATTAATTCATTATTAACTCTAATACAATTCTTCTGTAAAACCAAGAGTGCTCCCCGTTCTGAGAATTATTGGCACAATACTTTCTGCAGTTGTGGAGCTCTTCTTTAGTTCCCAGTTTGTTTTTTTTATCCAAACACTATTGAGCAAGAACCTCATATGAGTTCCATATGTATCTGTATAGAACTTATTGTGTTATATGCTAAGTGGCTGAAAAAATACACGCAAAAGGAATGCGCACTTGGGCTCAAGAACGATATTAAGTATAAAAGCATATGGATATGTACATATTCATTCACACGCAAATGTTAGTCTCTCTTCCATTCACCTAAACTTTCCAATTCAGTGTTTCAACTTTCACTTTATCCATCCTGACCTCCCATTGCGTCCTTTCTTCTTTTCCCAACTTTCTCATAAACCCCTTGAAAAACAGATTGTTTTTAAATATACTACAGACACTTATTTATAACATACATTCTTGGGTATACTATCTTAACTTAGGCTATATAACATTAGTTCTGACCCTGAGCTGGTTTAGAGATAGATACAACTCATAAGCTGCAGTATGGTGATTTTATAAAAGCATTGTCATTACCATTTAGTTGAATCATTTCTGGCTCATGATAAACTACAGCATTAGTGAAATCTCTTCTGGCAGAATAAAAAACACATGGTTCTAAGTTTGGTAGCACAGAATAAATGGGGTTACACTCAAGAGATAAGCTAAATTTGAAAACTAAAGAAAATTGTTGTAACTCTATTGAACAATATCTATTCATCTTTATCTGAGACATCCAGATACGTAGTATGATGGTGGCAAGAAATCTACAGAAAAAGAATCTCATAAACCACTTACTGTAAAATAATTAAAGCTTATTTATGTCAAGAGGCCTTGGGAAAAAAAAGAGAGCATAAACCAATTTGCATTAGCACTTACCAGCCTCCCCTGCTTTCATTTCAATTAACAGATCAGCAGGTGTACTTTGCAGTTAAAAAGATAAGCTATCAAGGAAGAACATGATTTTTTTGGCTGACCTGCAGAAACCAGAGCTTGCCTGCTGATTGGGTTTGTACCTCTCTTTACCAATTTCTGAAGTGTTAAATTAACTGTTCTTCTCTGTCAATGCAGGTCTCGGCCTTGAAAAATCAACTGAAGAAGCAGTCCACAGCCACTGGTGATGGAGTATCCAGGGCGTTCCTCAGAGCTCAGGTGGCCTTGTTTGGTTCCTACAGAGATGCACTAAGATACAAACCTGTAAGCTATCATTTATCATTCAGGGATCTATTTTCTAATTCTAAAGAATGTTTGCACATTTGAATTTTATCTATCTCACTGCAGTTAGAAAACTCTCATATTGAGCCATGTTATTTTTGGAAAGCAATATACAGTGATCAGATGAAGAAGAAATTTATTTAATATTAATTATATCATGCCTTTATTATTTTTATAAATGACTTAAGTAAATGACTTAGGAGTATCAGCTACGTTGGCCAACTTGACTCATTTGTAAATGGTCCTCCTCCTATTTCCCCCACGATAACCCTCTGTGAGAGTGAGTGTCACCCACCAGGTTTTCATACCTAAGTCCAGAGTAGAACTCATGGTGTCCCAGTTTCTAGTTTAGTGTCTTACTCACTAAACCAAACTGACTCTAAAAACACAAAATGCTTAATTTGCTCTTCATTTGTCTCACTTCTAATATCAGTGGGTAAATCACTTGAAGAGTGATATCAGATTTTGGTTCTCAGGTTGCAGTAATGAAGTTGATGTAGTCAGAATTATGTCAATGAATAAGCCAGAATTATTCCTAATATACTGTATATAATTCACTTATTTAGCTCTTAGTTATTTTTTTATTTTTTATAATTTTTATAATTTTTTATTTTATTCACACAGCAACTGATTTAGTTTTTTAATTAAGTGAGTAAATAATCTATATTTACATGCACAGTACAAATATGAATCATTCTTTAAAATTATACATAAATACAGCGATTAAAGGCTCTTTTAGTTCAATAAATAAAAGCTGTCCTGAAATTTATATATTTACCACCGAATTATCTTCATTTGCTGTACTATCTTTCAGTAAAATGGTGCTTTTGAAGTTGACTGTGTGATGACATTGTTACTTCATAATTCAACACAGGACAAAAATTACAGTAATATCAAAGAAATGGTGGAATAGAATAATTAAAGAAAGGATGCAAAAGTAGGGACAGAATGAAATGTGAATGGCAAAAATTAAAATATTTTTTATTTATTTTAAATAATTAAATAGAATTGTTAAATTGTCCTGCAGTGAATTATCCCATGGCAAATTGGCCATGGTGGGTTGACTGTGGCAAGTTGGCCACAGCGAGTTGGCTGTGGCAAGTTGTCCCATTCCCTCTACACAAACATGATTGTATTTTAAAAGTATGTTAATTATGTATATTACAAATATATTTCCAATGTATGTAACCTTTTACCCACCTTACAAAACTTACAGCCTTTTGAGTTTGGTTGTTAAAAGTTTCTAAAGACTCTTTAAGATTTCCTTAACCCAGTTTCTCTTAATCTAAAGATTTAGATTATCCCTTCTTGCACCGTATCCTTGGATTATATACTATAGGACATTAAACAATTGAAAGAAGATGGTACTCTTTTTGGCTTTGAAATTTCTCCAATTTTTCAAACTATAATTGCCAAGCCTTAGTATTATTTAAACAAAACTCTTGTTATTTTTTTTCCGAGTTAAGTGGTGGGTGGTTTTTACCCTTGCAGAGGTTCCAGTATCTTTTGTATGGCTTTATCTTTCTCTTGGCTAGGTTTCTGAAATGCTGCCAGATTTTTTAAAGTGAAGTATAAATCAAGTTAGTTGTTTATGTTCTTTATAATCTTTTAATGATATGGTTTTTGAGAAAGGTGATTTGTTTAGTGTATTACAGTATTTTTCTTCTTCCTGCTTTATCATGAAGAATTACATATTTATCGCACATAATTTTTCCCTTCCCAAAATATTTCACATAAGCAACTGGGTTTTAACTGCTCTTGTTTTCTTGATAAGTTTTGTACATAATAAATGTGGACATACTTTTGCCATCATTTTTCGTCCACTAACTTTAACCTAAAGATCAGGACTGTCATGAATAGGATTGGAATAACTCATTAAAGCAGAGACTTTAAAAATGAGAAGTGTGATATATATTTTCCAACTATTTTGCCTTACTGGAAGATTCTCAGAGAACACCTCTTTTCCTTCCCCATCTTCTGTGACTGGCAGAAAATCTTCCTAGTCAGACAAAGGTTTTCATTATCCTGGAATTAAATTTCTGTTAAAAGTTATCCTTGTAGCAAAAGAACAATTGAAAATGTTTTGCTGCATTGTCCATAAAGACTCTTAGTATGTTTTACAGTTTAAGTAAATTGCAAAGTCATTCAAATCCAGCTATTATAAGTTGACTAATATGACTCTGTTTCTTTGAATATGGGCAAATTCTGTTTTACTATTTGTAAAATTTGCTGTAATTATATTTTTTAAATTCCTTTTATTTTGTATATTTTAAACTTTTGCTTTTAATGGGACTCTGGCCAGTGAGCACGAAGTTTGTACTGTCCGTGATAGTGAAAAATGGCCTTTAAATATCTTATTGCATTCCACTTAAATTCAACTTTTGTGAAACGCCCTTAAAGAATACCAGTTGCAACAGTTTGACTATGTTAGTCAAAGATCAAAACTCCTAAGTAACCTAATTAATAAACAATTTATTGTAAACCATGTCTAATTGTGAATGAAAAGAACCATAATACACAATGTTATCTTTTTAAAGCAAAGATATCTACTGATATCTACAGCTTTGCATTTGTTTTTAGAATAATTATAGGATTTAGCTTATTTTATGCTCATGATAATGATTTATTCTGAGCTCGTGTGTCAAAAGTTATTTACAATTATATTAAGCAGCTAATTTAAAATGTGGATGAAGCTTAAAAGGAATGTGTCCTGCTGTGCCCACTAGCCCATGAAAAGGAGATGGGGATGTACAGAGTTCTGTAATAACTGTTATTAAGCGGACAGATATATTGTCTGGCCAAAAAGGGAAAAAATCAATCTGATATTAAAAATACTAGCAGTCAGCTCTTCAGTGTAAAATCCCTAATAGACCTTGATCAAAAATATACTTTGAGAGTATGTTGGGAATAATGTTGGTGTTCTAAAGAACCATGAAGCTTTGTTTTCCCAGGCCTCGGGCTAAGATAATTGGACCCCCCTCCACTGGATGTTTTGGGGTATCTTCTTGGATTGAAGTTGCTGTCTAACAATAACTGGGGATAAAATAAGCTGTGCCTTCAAGAGCTCTGCAACTTCCCTTGCTCAAGTAATTTCAAATGACTTTTAGTTTTGTATTTGAGATGTTAGACATGTTAGAGGAAAAGGAATGAACTCTTTGCAAAGGTAAACTTTAAATTTTTGAATTGGCTTGATGTGATTACATTGAAAACTAATAAGAGTAGTTGGTCATTTGTTGGTCATTTTTCTGAAAAAGATTATTGACATAAAACAGGCAGTTACAGGAGGTGATTATGTTATGTGTCAGAAACACCATAATTGGATCTTTTCTTTTCCAAAGGAGGTGAATCCCCGAATCTATTTCTAAGTGTAGGTGTTACATAGCAATATCCCAAGATGATACAATAGTTTCAAGGCCCGTGCAATTTTGCTGGTTCACAAATGCAAAAAGGATCTGAGTGTTAAGAGGCAGGGAATGAGTTGTGATCTATTGAATTCCTATCCCTGGCAATGTAAGGTATCCAGAGATCCAATTGTTTCCCTCTCTCTTGTATTTACTTGCATTTCTGATTCCAAAAGCTGCATATCAAATCAAAATGATTTGTTGTTATCAGTAATCCAAGCAGACCATAAAAGGTCAACTTGATTATGAAATAGCTAATCTTAATCAGATTTCTGATCCTTAGCAAGTTTTGTACAGACACTCCTAGAATAATCTTCTTTTAGGTATTTGCATTTTAGCACGAGGCTCAAGAATTAAGAAAATATCCACCAAGAAGTAGGAAGGACACAGTGTGGAAGACCCATACAATAGCATTTCTTCTTTTTCATGTACTGTAGTGCCAAAAAATTTGAGACTAATGTAGACTAAAAGTCAACGTATGTAACAAGTCCAATGTGTTTGGGGAAAGTGCATTGAGAAATGATTTGATGGTTACAGTATGACAAATTGCCATTATATTAGTAGCATGTAAATGTTTGTATATAATCTTGGCTTTTTTCTTGGAGATGTCTATGGACACAAGAAAGGAGAACAGTAGTCTTTAAATATAGGACCTTATGCAAGTGCCTAACATGTAACAACTTGAAGTTATTTTTAAATGTTTAAGTTACAGCTGGTTTTAGTCTCCCTCCTCTCAAACAGATCTCCATGTAGAGTCAGTGAATTACTTGAGTTTCTGGGAAATTGAAGTAATATAGTTCCCAATGATGGAAGGTTAATACGATTTATAGGAGGTACTAAGTATGTACTGGTAACTAGCCTGTTTCAAAGTAGCTCAAAGAAGCTTCTTTCTTAAAATTATTAATGTTATCTATTAATTTCCTATCCAATCTGGTCACCAGAGTCTGAGGTAGTTCTTACTTTATGTTTGAAATTTCAGGGGTTGTATAAACATAGGCATGAAATACTCCTGTCTTTCCTTTCAGTTTCAGAAAGTTTCATTCAATTCTTTTCATGAAGAATTGCAGCAAATCATTTGTACTGTAGCAATATACTCCAGCTATTAACAATCTGTAATCAATACATATTTACTGCAGAAGGTGATGATACATAAAACCCTAAAGTATTCAGAATTATCCTTGATGTTTAATAGTTTGGAATGAAAGAATATTATTTTTAATACATAAGCACAAAGAGGAAGACTCAGTTTTTAATTCTAGTCTTATTGAAACTGAATAGAGGATTGTCATGAATTTGTTTCAGGTTGACTGGTACAAGAGTATTCTGATTGTTTTTATTCAAATTATTATAGCAGTGGTAGTAACTTAAATTCTTGATGGGGAGGACTTCAAATATATAATTTTACATTTGTAGTGTTAGAAATTCATTTTGAACAAACCTTTAAGCTTTGCTTCTATTCTTATTGCAGTATGGTTTCTTTCTGGCTTTTGGGCATCCAACTAAAACATTTTAGCCTTATTTAACCCCATTTTTAAACCATGCACCATTTTAAACCATACACAGTTTTGTTTAACTTTGTGACTTAAAAATAAATAAATCTTAACTGGATTCTTTTGAAAGTATTTACTATAGTATTATAAATTATAAATAAATTATTTGGGGAATATTCAATGTTTCTGAATAATTAAATTAGCTAAATGTGAATGCATCCATCAGAGAATTAAACAGACATGAGGGTTTCATGGAAAATCCATAGCTAATTTGCATAATCAAAATTTGAATAATCCATTCTGGGTTATGGGCATACTATATTTTATTACAGAATCACAAGAAAAAAAGGCTTAGTAGAGACCCATTGGATCACATAGGGCAACTCTTGTGGCTATGAAAATGTCCTTTTATTTTATTTCTTTAGTTTTCAGTATTTCTGATATATTTCCCAAACCATAAAAAAGGTCCTTCACTTGCAGAAAAGATGAAATTTTAATTAAAGTAACAGAATTTTTTTTGAATAATTAAAATGGATGTTAATTATTTCTAATCTGTTTTGTGCCCATGATTAGCTATTGATTGACTGTTTTTTTTCTGAGCATACTTTAGGCATGACATTTTAAAAAGTTAGATTTTACAAAATAATTTATTTTGGGCATTTGATTTTCCTTACATTTAAAACATAGTTGTATTCTGTCTATGCATTGTAAGGAATTTATTTTTAGTATGAAAAATAAGTTACATTTACCAGGTTTAAAATATTGATTGCAAATACTGCTATATGCAAAATAATTGGTGTATTGCAATGAAATGTTAAATAGAACTGTTTATAAAAATGTATATTTCTTATGTTTTTCAAATTTAGGGAGAACCTATCATTTTCTGTGAGGAAAGCTTTATCAAGCATCGTTCCAGTTCTACTAAATATTTTCTGGAAACTGCAGTGAATCTCCAACTTTTTAAACAGGTATTTCTGAGATTTTGATCTAATATTATTCCAATGCATGTAGTATATGCATATTCAGGGACAGAGAAATGCTACAACAATCATCAGTAGCAGTTTCTGAATTTTGATTTGAATACTGAAAGATTTTTATGATCTGAGGAGAAACTAGAATATAGCTAGGATAAATTCTTGTACATTTCTATTATAATCCCAAAAGGTTCTTTCTAGTGACAACTCTTTGAGATAATAAGAAATAAACCTGCTTCAATTAAAGGGTCTTGGTTTTTTTTCCAATATATGTAACTGTATTTCTATTTGGAATCATCGCTACCCTCCTGTGAGCATCCAAAATCTGTCTTGGCAGATATTCTAATCCTCTAGAACAGACCTGGCAGGTGTATGGGAAAGTATTAATAAATGGTTCTGATACAGGTACAAATTTAAGCCCTTTTTCAATGAATAGCTGTTTATATACAGTTCTGCAAGCTACTCCTACTGCAATTTGACAGATCGAATCCCACCAGGCTCAAGGTTGACTCAGCCTTCCATCCTTCCGAGGTGGGTAAAATGAGGACCCAAATTGTTGGGGGCAATAGGCTGGCCCTCTGTAAACTGCTTTGAGGGGGCTGTAAAGCACTATAAAGCGGTATATAAGTCTAAGTGCTATTTCTATATATAAAAAGTTTTGGATAAATATATACATTTAATTTGATTATCATTAATAAAAATGAGCCAATTTTCAAATGTCTGCTAGCTTCCAAATCCTCTCTTAAACTACTCTCTTCAGGACTAGGAAATTTGCTGTGTGAGATGGTATGATGCAAACATATGTAGAGAACAGAAGAAGGAGTCTGCTCCCAGCTCCTTGATGCTCATACTTGTCATGGATAATATTTTGGCATTATTTAAGAGGCTTTCTTATGGATGAGCACATTGCTGTTAGGGTAATAAAATGAAATAAAATAAAATAAAATAATTAATTAAATTAAATTAAATAAAAAACAGTATTTTATCTCATAGAGTTGACTTTGACTTTCTTTAAAATTGAATACCTCTAAATCTCCCTGCAAATGGCCTGCATTCCATCATGCTTGAAAGCATTTGTCCCACTCCCAAAGAAAACAGCAATTAACTACCTAAATGACTACAGATCTATTGCATTAGCCTCTGTAATGATGAAATGCTTCGAGAGATTGGCTCTCCAACACTTGAGGGCATGCCTCCCACCGGACTTTGGTAAATATCAGTTTGCCTATAGGGGAAATAGATCAACAGACAATGCCATAGCTTCTGCTTTACATCTGTGGCGAGCCATATGGAGAAACCCAGAAACTATTGCAGGATGTTTTTCATTGACTATAGCTTGGCCTTCAATACCATTCTGCTGAGCATCCTTATCGAAAACCTGACTGACTTGGATTTTCCCTCTTACATCTGCGACTGGATCAAGGACTTTCTTTTTCTTTTTTTATAAAGAATTTTTATTTTTAAAAACAAACATACACATACAAAACATAAAAACATAAAACCATCTTCCATTTTATATACATACAGTGTGTCAGTTGGTTGCAAATCTTTTTTGCTATCCTTTTGTAGTCATTTACTCACAATTTATATCAGTTTTCACATTGTCGAACTAACATATGCTTATATATTTATCAGTTATTAATCATTCATGACTAAACTATTTATTCCATCATTTTATACAAGATGTTCCAAGTTTTATCTTAAAATTTATGTTATACTTTCAACCAGTGGTTATATATGTCTATATTATGTTTTATATCAATCTATTAAATTTCTATCACAAAATTATCTAGTCTATTACATTACCATGCCTTTTTATCCAACCATTGATAAAACAATGGATCAAGGACTTTCTGAGGGACCATCCACAAACAGTGAGAACTGGGTCTGTCATATTCACCTTCCTGAAGCTTAGCACTGTATGCTCAGTCCCTACCTGTACTCACTGTACACACATGATGGTGTATCATCTGACTCATCTACTGTGATCATTAAGTTCACAGATGACACCACCATATTGGGTCTTATTACAGGTGGAGATGAAGCAGCATATGGGGGGAGGTTAAAAAATTATCCACCTGGTGCTTACAAAACAACCTGCACCTGAACATCAGCAAGACAAAGGAGATGGTGTTAAACTTCAGGGAGAAGAGAGAGGAACCTGCCCCACTTTCCTTCGAGGGGGGCTGTGTCAAAAGAGTTTCCTCCTTTAAATTCCTGGGAGTCTACCTCAGCGAAAATCTCACCTGGAAAATCAACACGATCCAGGTGGCCAGAAAGGCACAACAGAGACTCCATTTCCTCAGGGTCTTGTGAAAAAACAGAGTGGAACAACAACTGATGACCTCTTTCTATCGGTCCATAATAGAAACCGTCCTCATTCCATTACAGTGTGGTATGCTGCCATGGATAGAAAGATACTACAGAGGGTGGCGAGCACAGCACAAAACATCGTGGGCTGTCCCCTGATACCACTAGACGACACTGCTAGGGCTCATTGACTTAGAAGAATGAGGAAAATCCTCAGGGACGATTCACACCCTGGTCAGCACTTCTTCATTCTCTTACCATCAGGAAGGAGATATAGAAGCATAGGCAGCTGCACAAACAGCTGAAGAATAGTTTTTATCTGTGGGCTGTCAGACTCTTGAATGGAAAATAACCTTGTAACAACGTAGTACGAGTGACTTGAGGGGGGCGACGCAATGTGCAATAAGTTCACATGGTGCAATAGGATTGTGTTTGTCAGTAAGATTCACTGGGTTAGGGATTTTTTGTCTTCACTGTGAGTTGTATTGTGTTGGGGGGGTGCACGAAGGGAGATTCAGACAATCTCATTATACACATGTTGTACTCTGACAATAAAGGTTTGAATTGAATTGAAAATCAATTTAGTAGGACCATACCATTCAGGCATATTTCCAGTTGTTTTTTTTTCAGATGTTACAGCTAAATCTTAGTTTGAAATTAATTGCCCAGAGGGACATCTCTTTTAAATTATGCATGTCTCTACTTTCCCATTGCACAGAGGGGAAAGGTAGAAGCTTTTTTAGTACTCTGGTGTATCATATTGAGGGGAATTTCTGTTTGTTCAGACAATCCAGAATCAGGTCATACCTTATGATCATGGGTGATTTTCAAACATTTTTAAAAAACTTAATCTGTCTCTAGTTCAGATGAGGAAAGGGTAAAAGTGCAGTGTTTTCGGAACTATTTTGTCTGATGAATCTCAAAAGCTAGAACTCAAATTGTGTGTCTGGAATTGAGAAAAAAATTCTTAGTTTTGAACTGTCTTGATATAAACAGGATTTAGAAGGGCTACTTCAATTGTAGGTATTTGCTGCCGCATGCCACTGATTGATGCCAGAAGATTAGTTTCTCTGCTAGCCTGTTAGAAATCATTGTTGGATGAAGAAAGAACAAAATGATACAAATAGAAACAGTCCTAAAAGCTTATTCTAAGCATTGGATAAACACTGCAGTCCAAGCTCCAGCACAAAATAGAAAACATTTCTTTTGATTAAAACAACCAGAACCTTTTTGAGGGGGGAAGGGCATACACCATATTTAATTAATCTTCTGACTCTCTTTGAAGATATAGTGCAAAACAGATAAGTGAAATTCACAAGATGCTAGGTAACTTTCATTTTTAAAAAAGTGTTTGTTCTTGGAATTTAATGGTTGGTATAGAGATTTATGGCAGTAGAAGTGAAAAGTACAGTTTCTAATAAGAAAGAATAGAAATAGTATTATTCTGCAATAGGGAAAGAAATATGTTTTGAAACTATTTTATGCCCCTTTAGTATTTTATATAATTCCTCCTCTTTCTCTTCCACATCCCAGCTGCATCTGATCCAAGACCTGTTTGTAATTAGGCACTTTTCAAGGTTACTTGAATCATAAGAGATTTGAATTTAAAGTGTTGCTTTAGGTTCAGTGGCAAATACTGTTTTTTAAACAGAAAAGAAGTTCAAAGAGAGAGACAGATGGATGTATGGATGTGAAACAGCAGCAGGGCAGACATTTGCATTATTGTAATTCTGAAACACTTGTTTTGGAAAGTGACATCTTTGTAATCATATAAACAGGAAGCAAAAGCAGTGTGTAAAAAGTGCACACTACATATTACACCATAGATTTCTAACATACACACAGCATTGGTGATGTCCACTTAGACCAGTTAGTTGAATATAAAAGGCCTCAAATAGAATTGGTTGATAGTTGAAATGAAGTATTGCACACAAATATGTATTTCACTAGTTTCAGCCATTTTTGAATGACTCGCCAAATATATGCATGTAATTTCTCTAAGGCAGGGGTCACCAACCTTTTGGACCTCAGAGACCACCAAACTCTTAATTTTAAATCCCGCGGACCACTAATATGTATTTTGACTGACGGTGGCTTGCTGATGTTGGTGGGTGGGTGGGTGGGAGGGAGAGGGAGAGAGAGATCCAATCCAACCTCGGAGAGCTGGCGGTGATGTGCGCTCTCTCTCTCTTACACACTCACACACATACACACACACCCCTCCCACCCCCTCCCAAGGGAGCCACATTCCTAACCTGCTTTTCAGCTCCATTCTCAGGGAGGGAAGATAGATAGATGGTATTTTGCGATCCTAAATAATGACCGGTAGGAAAGCAGATGGGGGATTTTCCTGCAGACTTTTTCGGGGATTTTCCCAAGGTCTTTGTCTGCAGAGTCTGCAGGAAAATCCCCCACCCTGTATTCCTACCGATTGATTATTCTTTACTATCTCCAGTCCCATTCTCTCATGGGGGGGTGGGGGTGTGAACAGACTTTTGGCTTCATGCAAGGAAAGCAGCAGAAGCAGCAGAAGTCTTTCTTTCTCTGCCCCAAACTCTGCCAAAAACGAGTCTTTGTGAGACTTGTCGTGCCGGTGCAGCCTCTTGGAACAGGATGCCTTGCAGGGTTCCAAAGACTCATTTCTGGCCAAGTTTGGGGGAGAGAAAGAAAGACTTTTGCTGCTTTCCTTGTGTGCAGCCAAAAGCAGAAGAAGAAAGAAGCAGAAAGAAGCAGAAAGAAGCAGCCCGGTGGCCAGGCCAGGCGAGTAGGGCAAGCTCCCCCTCTCCGCCCTTTCCACCCTCCCCTCACTGCCTCGTGTTGTTCGTAATGCAAACGACGTAAGCCTTGTGTTCTCGCGTGCCATGTAGGCAGCACAGCCTTGTGTTCCCATGCAGCCTGGATTAATTGCTTTGGGGGGTACTTTGGGGGTGCTTCTCTGCGGACCACCAAAATTTTCTTGCGGACCACCAGTGGTCCCCAGCCCACTGGTTGGTGACCACTGCTCTAAGGCCTTAAACGTATATACTTGTAATAATAGCTATTTTGGATAAGTACAAAACTAAGCTGATCAATCTCCTTCACTTAATGCCATTAATAAGGAATATATAATTTAATAACCTAAGAAAAAGGTTAACTATTTAAACTTTGGGAAATGTGTTTTACTGAAGTTGCTGATGGTATAATAATACTTATGTGCATGGCTGCATATTGCTAAGTCTAAGAACAGAAAATGCTTTTTTTCTGGAAGGAAAGAAAACTGTTTTATCTGATTTGAAATAGAAAACATGATGTGTGTATGAAAAATGGATGAAATCCTTACCCAGTATATACTGTTAAGAGCAGAGCATTGACCAAGTTTTTGCACCTCTGTTTAATTTTTATAAGCCCCTGTGCTACTGAATTGTTCAAGATAAAATAATCGAAGCAGTTCCAGTCTGGTTAAAACTAAAATATGACCTGATTTGAGACATACATTTATTTTATTATTAATAACTCCTTTATTCTTTAGATGATGCTCTGAATTGCTAATAGGACATATTTGTGTTTTGTATACAATACCCAGTAAATAGGTATAATGTTGAAGCCGAGATGTACAAAATCTATATTACTTAAGGTGAAGAAAAAAATAGGGGGATGGGGCAAGACTATTGTTCATTTAGTTTGTCATTATTCCTGGTGAAATCTGACAAATCCACCAAACACAATTAATGATGCATCTATTAATTTTTCATGAATTTCCAATTTGTATTAACATTTTGTGTGTATAAGATTAGACCCAAAACAAATATCTCCTTTCAGTTCATGCTTAACACTCTGTTATCTTACATTCATAAATCATGTGCTTCGTATGAGAGCAAAGAATGATTTCTTAACTCTCCCTGGATAGATAATGCTTTGTGGCTCAAAGAATGTTTTCTGCACAGTGGTGGTTAAAGGTGCTTTATCTCATTCTTGCTGTGAAATAATCCAGTGATCCCTTACCGCTGTCTGACCATGAACCATCCCATTTGGAAAAAGGCCAGGTTAAGGCTGAGGGGCGGGTGGAGGGAGAAGAATGTTAGTTAAGAAGAAGAGGAAATAATCAGTGATAGCATGTCTTTCGCTGCTACTGCTGAGTCTGCCTTTATCTAGTCCTCTTCAAAATGTATTCATGGAACAGTTTGTTTCATGTCATCAGTCTATCCATTGACAAGCATCAGATTTTCACTGACAGGCCTGTTTGGATAATCTGTGATAGCATATGACAGTCAGCCAAATAATTAATTTTTATTGGCTCCTGTGTACCATTTCAGTTAGCAGCGATTTGGTATTCATGTTGGAAAATGTGCAATCAGTCAAACAATTTCTTTGTTTATCTCATATTTTGGCTACCTAATCCTGGCAAAGAAGTATTACCTCTCAAGTACCCTAAAAATGCCCGTACTTTTGGAGGGTTGAGAAAGATTGTTTTTAGGTTTATGAAAATGTAATGCAAATTGAGAGTTTTTACAATACATTGTTATTGCATTGAGAATTATACTCAGATTCTAATTGTCAATAATTTAAACCTGGCAGTTCTGACAACGTGTCATCATTATTTTCAGATTATGTATAGCCAGGTTCAGAGATATTGGTGGATGGAGAATTAGACGCTTCCTTTTTTTTCTAACATCCTTTTTTTTTTAGCACTAACTTTTTTGGGTGAGATTTAAATTGGCAAACTATGATAAATGTTAACTTCTGTTAATTGAAATCATTGTTTAAAATTATTAGCAGTAACCATTGGTTTTAATTTTATAGTGATTAATTATAAAGTGAAAAAAGAATTTTATTGTGAGAGGAAAGACATGCACATAGATCTTGTATTCTTGTCCTCTCAGTAAATGGGAGGGATTAAAAATAATTTTTGGACCCTTCATCATTTAGTAAACGTTTACTTTTTCAGTGCATATAAATAGATAGGACTTCATAAACGTTTTATAAAAATGAAGCTCTATAAAATCCAGTATTTGTATATTTGGTATATAACTTATATATTTATCCTACTGTGTTTCTCATATAATAAGGCCGGGTCTTTTTTTTTTTTTTGAGCCCCGAAAAAATGGCTAGGCTGTCTTTTCAGGGGTGACTTAATTTCTCCCCCCTTGGATCTTCGGGCAGGCGGGCAGCGACGGCTTGGATGTTGACCTTGGCGTTGGTGGGGCACTTCGTATTGGGGTCAATGCAGGCTGCACCATATCCGGGTGTGCAACAAAAGTACTTCCTAACGGCAAGCCCCCCCACCATTTCCCCCATTTCGCATGTTTTAATATAGGCCTTAATTTTGGGGGGAGGGGCTTAATTTCATTTCATGCCTATAAAACATGCTGGGACTTCCTAGGGCGGGGGGCATATTGTTGGAGAAACAGGGTATATTATGAGCTAATCCTTATCTTAGAACATAGAATAATAAAGCTTGAAGGACTTCTAGTTGGGCAGGAGATTGTATACCATTTCAGACAAATGGTGTTCAGGGTCTTCTTGAAAATTTCCAATGAGCGCCCACAAGTTCTGGAGGCAAAACGGTCCATGGATAAATTGGTCTCACTGTCAGGAAATTAGTCCTTAGTTCTGGATCTCTCTTTAATGATCTTCCACTCTTTACCACTCCCCACCCCAAAGGTTCTGACTTTTTTAACCAGAGGAAATGCTCTTAGGTGCTTTAGATAATAAATTGATCCCCCTTTTTTTCTGTGACAGCCCCCCAAGCATTGGAAGATAGCTATCACCCCTAGTCCTTTTTGTTAGACTAAACATACTTAATTCCCTTAATAATTCATCATATGGTTTAGCCTCCAGACCCCTTATCATCTTTGTTACTCTTCTCTACACTCTTTCTAGGCTTTCAACATTTTTTGTATCATGATCACAGAATTGGATGCAATTTTCTAGGTGCGGTCTCAATATAAAGCATTACTGTTACTTAACGTAATCTTCTTATTTGAATATCAATTTATCAGGTCATAGTTCTGCTTTCCTCATTAAATAAATTAAGATAATTTTATAGAAATTATAGCTAAATGTTATGAAATTCCTATGAACGCTTCCCTCCATATCCTTATGTCTCTCTGTCCCATGAAATTTTAATTTTTTAAAAGATTGTTTTAAGACCAAGTTTCAGTGAAGAAAAAAATGATGGGTGACTGTAATCTAGCACCATGTGTAGAAGTTAAGTGTTCTGACGAATGAACCTTTGGGAAGTATAGAGGAGATTAAAAAATAACACAATCTCCCCCAGTTCCTTCTATTTGGGGATTAGTTGTGCCCATTGTATTAGTCCTTTATGCTCACAAGGTTCTAAATATATCTGTCAGGCCAAAAAAGCTGCCATCTACTATATAAATTCTCAGGCAACAAATTGTACAAAACTTATGAACTGGATTTATATTAGTGTATTTAGAGACTTTCCTTTAAAAAAGTGTTTGAATTAAATTTCTGTAGAATATGGTTGATACAAATGACAAACATTAACTTCTTTGACTGTTTTGTACAGTATAAAATGGTATTTGTGCATTTCCTCCACTTTTGCATTCCATACATGTGTGGAATTCTTCTAAGTAATAAAGATATTAAAGTTTTTGCTTTGTAAAAAGCACTGAATGGGTGAAAGAAGTTATTTTTACTCTGCTATCCTTTTCATTGAAAGTATGTACTTTGTTAACACTTAAGAAAGTTTCAAGCGCAATTCGTTGTTATAATTACAGACACTGCTTGTATCTAGCAACTAAGATTTAAGAGAGCTTGTATGAATTGGTATATAACCATAGTATGAAAGTTAAGAGCTATTTAAAGAAAGTAGTTTTCTTTCTAACCAATATTAAGTAGGCTAGAATTGTATGTTCTTTGGAGAAATTCAAACAGTGAATTTAGAATAATTCAGTGGTTTAACGGGAAAATAAGAGATTTTAGACATTGATTTCAAGCTGATAAATTTGAATTTCTTTAATATGATTTGCTTTTACAAAATATATTTAGAATGTAAATACATCAAATATGGCACCATATAATTGCTGTTTCCTTGTTTAAGATTATCATACTGCAATCAGATTAGGCTCATATATCCCATAGGTGGACATTTTTTTTCTTAACATACTTTAACATTTTAAAATGTGTCCCACACTTTAAAATGAATATAGATATAGGAATTAAAGCAAATTAGATACCAGTTTGAAGGGAAAATATTTGAGAATCATGCCTTTAAAATAAGAAAATAATAAATGTTATATTCCAATTTGAGATTAATTAAAATGCAATCAGTGTCAAAAATATTTTGCTATGGAATCATTCTGTTATATTTTCATAATGATTGTGATTCCACCCCCCCAAAAAAACCCTTATTTTGTGAATTCTGATTCAAAAACTACTACAAGTATTAAGTTTCAAATCATCCTTCCCTCTTCCCAAATTCAGCTTTAAAATCTACAAAGAATAAAAGTAATAGTGAAGGGTGGATGAACAGGTGATTATGTAATGAAATGGAAGTAGATGTGACCTCTCTAAATTTCTAGCACTTTGTAGAGAAGCTAGTAAAATTACATTTTATACACTTTTCTTAACAGTTTATTATAGCTTTGATACATACTTTATTGCAGTTTATTGAAGGTCGACTTGCAAAGCTAAACGCAGGAAAAGGATTCTCCGATATATTTGAAGAAGAAATCTCATCAGGAAGTGGAGGTAGATAAACACTTTTTTACTTCTTGACTACAGGTAGGTTTTGATGAGGACAGCTAATGAATCCCATGAAATGGTGACATTATTCAAATTTGCACTATTTGAAGTAATATTTCCATAGAAAATATGGTAATTGGTTCCAGCTCAAAGGAAATAGGCAATGAATTTTTATATATATTTTAAATATGAATTATTTCAGTAAAGGATAAAAAGAATATACTAATAATTTAAATGTATGGTTAATACAAAGTCACAGAGTACTTATAGAAAGTAATTTTTTTTAAAAAAAGTCTACCAGAAATTCAAGCATACCAACATCTCATCCTAATTTTAATGTTGCTATGGCCTCATTCACATATTGTAATTCAGTTACACCAAATTTTCACTCTAGGCTAATAACAAGGCTCTTATTTTTAAAACTTTCCCTATTCTGACAGAACTTTACTTTTCTCCATTTTGCACACATGAAGAATAGCAGCATCTAAAACCCCAAACACAACTGCATATGTAATAGCTTAAATTATGCTTGCACTAGCCTTTCATTAAGTGAATTTTGGGTTAAACACAATTTACAGTTCTCACTAAATCAAATATCACATTATTCAAACTCACACTAATCACAACCTACCTGTTCTTTCATATTTCCTGCATTAATTGAAATAGTAAAAAATGACAATACTTTTTAAATTGGTTTTTAGTATTGTGCTGCCCATGGGTACTTTTTGATTAAATAATTGAAATAGAAATACTATTCAGATTCCATGTTGCTAAATATCCAAAAACATTTTTTAAAAATCTTGATTGACATTTCAGATGCTTTTATATAGGAGATGAACAAAAGTTTATATAAAATACGTGTTATATATGATCTTATTGATATTTTACCAAACAATTATTTGTATTTTTATTTCAAATAATTGCAGTTTTCAACATATATAGAAGTTAGAGCAACTAATGTGATACTTGAGTAGTTAGAATGAAAAAATAATAATGAATAAAATACTCACTGTTCTTATGGATGAGCGGTGAAATTAGTCTGTGATTGTAATAACATTTTACCTATATGCCTGATGTGACATTGCTCCTATTAATTAATGCCAATTCTCTTAATACCAAAAACCACAATTGAGGCTTGATTTAAAATCTCTTTATTGAATTAAGTGTTTTTAAAATTTTATATCTCTTTAATTGTACTTCTGTGTGTTCGATATGTGTTCCTGTGAAGGTTTATAACTTCAGCTTCGTAGGATATCATAAACATTATTAGGGCAAATTGATGGAACTGAATATAATGGTTAATTAAAAATGACAGGCAGAAAGACTCTTCAGACTTATTTGTTCATCTTCCTTTTCTCAAAATTACATGTTCAGTTTTTATGCAAGTATCTGCAGTTTTAAATGAAAATGCTTTAGTAATTGTACATAAGAGCCAGTTTTCTACAGTGATTAAGGCACCAGGCTAGAAACAGAGACTTGAGTTCTAACTTCACTTTAGGTACAAAGTCAGCTGGAAGACTTCGGGCTAATCACGCTCAACCTTAGGACAAAAGAAATAGCTAACCATTTCCAAAAATATTACCCAGAAAACATGCAGGAGCTTGTCAAGATTGATTTGAATACACATCCATACATCCATATACATACACATCATGATATTCTCCTTTGGATGAACAGTGTTAGGATTAGGGTACTTTTATCAATACCAGCAATATAAATTGGATAATTCCTCCAAAGCCAGAAGGAATATTAAAATGTTTCCACCTCCAGGACCTGCTAGAATAGCCCACTTTTAATGGCTTTCCTAAAAACCAACCAGGAAGGGTTTGTTTAAATTTCCAGAGGGCATCTGTTCCATAAAAGTGGGTAGTCATTGAGAACAACAGTTTTATGATTCTTTTTTTTTTTAATAAAGTTTTATTTGGGCTTTCACACACAAAATACAAGTAAAACATCTTTTTTGAAAATAGCATTGTCCCGGGTTGAACTTCTTTATACAGACACAAAACTCAATTTCATGCTCCTTTTTGTATTCTATTCCATATCTTAGACTATTTTACATTTTCTATATAGTTTTTCCCCTCTTTTAATTTTCTCAATTTTATTTTGATTATCTCATCTCAATTCAAATCATTATATTTATACTTTTGTCTGTTCTGTTTCAATTTCATATTATCTTTTCTCATTAAACAAATTTTCTCCTGTAGTTACTAATTGGAGTATGACACCTTTATATCTTTTAATTATATCCATTCAACTCTTATTTAAACTTCAATATATACCTTAAGGTTATAACATTCAATATAATACATAATACATAACTTCCAATCGAATTCTGCTTGGTACATTCTTAAAATACACACTATATTCTTTTTTTTTTTTTAAAAAAGAAAGATTGTAAATATATGTAATTCCAGTTCAGTTCTATCATTAATAATCATTAAAACCATAACATCTTTAACAATTCTTTTCAATTAAATATCATACTTCCTTAAAAACACATGTAATCTCCATAATTAATTTTTCCCTTATTTCTCTTCACATATGTTTTATAAATCATTAAATATACCTTTTGTTATATTTATTTATTGACAAGCATTCCACTGAATTACGATAGCTAATTTATCAGATATTTTAATCATACATTGTTTCATATTTTCTAAAATAATTTCTGCTTCTAATATAACCATACTATCTTATGTACCTTTGCAGAATCCCTTTTTCCATTCAGTTTTCACCCATTATCTCTAAATAAACCCTGTTTCTCTATATTTTGCTTCTGTCCTTTATAACTTCTTTTCTTTTCTTTCTTCCCTCTCATCTTCTCCCTCCCCTTTTTACCCCCTTCTCTCTCTAGTTCTAATTCTCTCTTCTGCATTTCCCTCTTCTGTTGCTTTCTGATTTTATACTTATTTTTCACTCTTTTTTTTTTTTTGGAGTTGTTTTTCCCAATCTTAAACTTTCCATTCTCTTTCTCCCCTTTCTCCTCCCCCCCCCCCGTCTAAGATTACTTGTTCATTAAAGATGGCTTCTTCTTTGTTGCAATCTTCTTGTTCTGCAGGCATTTCTTGTTGTTTTTCATAATTCCAAATCTCCATTTCTAAAAACTGAAATACGAAGCCAAAAGAACCTCTCCCTTCTTGTGCATCTTCTTTGTACTTTTTAAGTTCCATTTTCAGTTCTTCTAAAAGTGGAGCCATTTTAAAAAGTTTTAAACAACCACCCGATTGATTTTAGTCATTCAAAACAATAACCAAGAATCCAGAAATCATCAAGTGATCCAGATAGTCCCGAGTTATATCTTCTTATTTCTTTTTTGACTTTCTCTTCCTGGGGTTTTTGTTGCGATATTTCAGTTAGAATGTATCTTTTGGAAGTCTTGTTGAGATTTTGCTGTAAGTTCTTTTTTAATTCCAAGCAGTCTCCTCCCTTCCAGATCCTGCCCTTTTATTCTTCCTCTCTCCTTTCCTGTTTTCAAAAGCTTTTAATTATCCAGAAATCTTTATTATCCCTTTGACTTTTTATTTTCACCATTAAATACCTATTGATGTCAAAGTGGATTTTTTTCCAATTTCTTGCTTAAGTCTCTTAGCTGTCAGTATAGGAAAAGGAGAAAACCAAATCTTTTCCCTTTTCTCTCTCCTTCGCAGCTTCAAAATCTTCTTAGGGAACAATGTTATTGTTTTTTAACAGTTTCAATTCCAGGGTACCTTATTTGTTGCTTTTGCTGTTTGACCCGGTCAACCAAAACTTTCTCTTCTTATCTTCCTCCAGCACATTCTTTTCCGGTCGAGTTCTTCTTTGTGGTGGCCATTTCTGACCACCGCTGCAACCACCTTCGGGAAAGGGAGTAATGGCCAGCTGGGAAGGAGAGATGCGCTCTCCTCAATCCTGCTGGCAATCTCCCCCCTCTTCACCTCCTCTACGGGGTGGCTTAGCCCCGAAACTGGCCAGCAGCGAGCGCGGATCGAAGCCTCGCAGAGATGAGATTTCGGTCTGTTGCTGAAGAAGCTCAAACCGGAAGTCCTCTTCAGTTTTATGATTCTTGAAGATGCCAATCAGTGGTGGGATTCAATTTTTTTACTAACGGTTCTATGTGGGTGGCTTGGTGGGCATGGCAGGGGAAGGATACTATAAAATCTCCCATTAGAAGTGGTAGTATTTGCTGCTTCTCCAAACTACTCGAAATTTCTGCTACCGGTTCTCCAGAACTGGCCAGAACCTGCTGAATACCACCTTTGATGCCAATCCCTGCAAAGGGAGCCCCCTGTACCAGGTCTTATTGGGAAACAGATAGAGTTGGTTGTCCTTCAGATACCCAAGTCTTGAGGTATGAAAGGCTTTAAAGGAAAGAATTCACACTTTGAATTGTCAGCACCCAGGCTGGCTTTTCAGTGTAATGGAACAAATCAAAGTGCTAAAAGAAGCCATTGGCTGGGAATTTATAGCAACTATCATTTCTCATACTATTTTAAAATGAATAATGGTTTTAAAACTAAACCCACTTGTTCTGCTAAATTTTAAATTTATTTGCTTGCAAAATAAATAGCAGTGCTACCGTTTATGGAATCCAATTTCCCCTGACCATTATGAATAATTTATTAGTGTAATACTATTGAACACACATTGATTTGCTCTTCTCCCCCCTTGCAAAATGTTGTTCAACTGTAAGACTATAGAAAGTGTAGTATTATACAATACCCTGATATAATACATATATATTTGTGCATCTATGCATTTTTTCAATCCCTAAATAACATTCAGGTGTTGCAAGTGCTTCATCATTGGAGGTTCTTAGGAAGAGACTGGACAATCACTTGTATAGGAATTGTATAGGATCTCCTATTTGAGCAGGGGCTGGACTAGAAGACCTCCAAAGTTCCTTCCAGCTGTATTCTGATTCTAATTCTAAATTTACCATATTTTTAAAATTCTGCTCATATCAGCAATAGATTTTGTCAGAGAAAATAATATAATCTGGTGTTCTTTGAAGATAAGAGCTGTAAAACTCCATTCGTTGTGAATGTGAATATGTACAGTGAAGATTATGCATAAAAGTATAGCAAAAATGATTCTAATCTTTGTTTCCCTTTAATTTATATTTTTAAAGGAAATTTAAGAACATACCATCAGTGGATGCATACTGTGAAGGTATGACAGCATGTCAGGAGACTGGAGTAAATCTTGTAGTGCAAAAAGTGTTACCATGTGAATGTAATCTTATTTAAAAACATGCAGAAAGATCGCTCAGAATTTGTGCAATATATACAAGTGTATACATGCAGACCAGTGCAAATCTTTCATACAAAGTACCCATTTATACAATCAGAACATTATGAAAGACAATTTCCTGGTGGATTGTGCCCTACATGAGTACATTAGAGTATACTGATAAATGTGTCAGCCATAGAAATGATGTATTGTAAACTCTGGGTGGTAGTAGACAAACCTAGACGAAAGGCAGCTGTAGAAATCTTCAAAGTGGCATATTCAGGGTCATGCTAAGAGTTGTAATTTAAATTAACCAGAGGTGTAGATTTTCCTTTAGAAACTAAGTATGTTATTTAAATTTAGAATTAAACTGTTTTTTCCGTATATCAAAATCTCTGTGTTTATGTGTATATATGTATATTGTATTTCAGAAAGGAGGAGCCTTGATCAACACAGCAGTGAACAAAGCTACTCCAGCTGTGAAAACAGCATACCAATATGTAAGAGCTATTCTTTTCCTGCTGCATTTTTGCAGATTTATATTTATTTTATTTATTTGATTTGTCAATCGCTTACATAATAGGTATAAGTATAAACATGAGTAAGAATACAGGAAATAGGTATGAATAAATGGGGACAATAGGACAGGGACAGTAGGCATAATGGTGCACTTTTGCACGCCCCTTACAGACCTCTTAGGAATGGGGTGAGGTCAATAGTAGTTTGAGGTTAAAGGAGTGGGAGTTAGAGGATTAACAACAGAGTCAGGTAGTGCATTCTAGGCATTGACCACTCTGTTGCTGAAGTCGTACTTTTTGCAATCAAGTTTGAAGTGGTTTACATTGAGTTTGTATCTGTTGTGTGCTCTTGTTGTTGTGGTTGAAGCTGAAGTAGTCATTGACTGGTAGGACATTGTAGCAGATAATTTTGTGTGCTACGCTTAAATCCAGCTGTAGGCAGTGTAGTTCAAGGTTGTCCAAGCCCAAAATCTCAAGCCTGGTGATATAAGGTATTCTGTTGTGAGCAGAGGAGTTTAGTACTCTTCTCGTGAAATACTTCCGGACTCTCTCAATTGTATTAATGTCCGGTATACAATGCAGATTCCAGATGATGAGCTGTATTCGAGTATTGTTTTGTATGCTCTAGTCAGCAATTCAATATGTCCGGAGAAGCTTCGTAAGATTAGATTTCCAACTCTTAGTGCCGTTTTGGCAATGCTGTTACAGTGAGCTCTGACGCTTAGGTCATTTGATATGAGAACTCCAAGGTCCTTGACAGAGTGAGGATCATCAACAAGGTCATATCCTCCTAGTTTGTATTTGGTATACTGGTTTTTTTTTACCAATGTATAGGACAGAGCATTTGTTGGTCGAGATTTGGAGTTGCCAATTGTTTGACCATTCAGACACATAATCAAGGTCACTTTGAAGGACAGTAGCATTGTTGTTGGTGTTGAATAGTTTTACGTCATCCACAAAGAGGATGCAGTTGCTTATAATTTGATTGCAAAGGTCATTTATATAAAGAGTGTGGGTCCTAGAACACTGCCTTGGGGGACACGCTGTTAACTGGAGCAGAGTTTGGTATAGCACTCCCTATTTTTACTATTTATTGCCTGTTTGACAGGAACACAGTAATCCACTTATGAAGGGATCCGAAAATGCCGTAAGAGTTTAGTTTTAACAGTAGTTTGTCATGTACCACTGAATCAAAGGCTTTGCAGAAGTCTATGTAAATTGTGTCTTTAGCTTTACCCTGGTTAAGTAGAGTAGTCCATATGTTTTTGCAGTGTAGGATTTGAAGATTGCAGGACAATTTTTTCCTGAAACGAAAATGGTTTTTTTGGAGGGTAGGTTGTTTGACTCTAAGTGGAGGGTTAATGATTGATCCCATGACTTTGCACGTGATACAACACAGTGAGATTGGTCTGCAGTTTTCAACCAGGCTGGGGTCACCTTTTTTGAAGATAGGGATGACTGTAGCAAAGGACCATAGGTTTGGTAAGGAGCTGGTTCTGAATGATATCGCATATATAATGCTTAAAGGTTCCGCTATGGCAGAGGAGAGCTTTTTTAAGCAGTATGCACATAATTCATCGGTCCTCAACTTACAACCCTAATTGAGCCCTATATTTCCATTGCTAACCAAGACAGTAAGTGAGTTTTGCCTCATTTTATGATCTTGTCACAATTGTTAAGTGAATCATTGCAGTTAAGTTCATAACAAGGTTGTTAAGTGAATTGGGCTTTCCTATTGCTTATCAGAAGATCACAAAAGGTTGCAACCATTATAAATGCAAGTTACCAAGTATCCAAATTTTGATCATGTGACCATGAGGGTACTGCAATGGTCATAAGTGTGAAAATGGTTATGAGTCGCTTTTTTCAGTGCCTATTGTAACTTCAAATGGTCACTAAATGAATGGTTGTAAGTTGAAGACTACCTTTATTCCCTTTTTTTTCAAGATGCTACAGAATATTTGCTAACTCTACGTTATACTAATATGTTGTTTGCTTTAACCATAATTTGAACAATTTATAGTAGCCTAGTTTACACATAACATGAATTTATAACCATAACAATTGTTGTAACCATAACAATCCTCAATGAAGAGTTTAAGTCACTGAAAGCCAAAATCAGACACATGAAGTTTAGTGAGAGTGATATCAATCTACTCATTATGTTATATAGTTGTTTGCAGAACCACCCATACAGTGACTGAATCTAGAGGTGAAACTCCTTCAGTTCTCCAGTTCTTTGTGCTAAGATTCTCCCCTCTTCTGCTTAGGAGTTGTTGCAGCAGATAGCAGCAGTAGTAGTAATAGAAATAGTAGTAGTATTTTTATTTGGTGTTTATACTTGAGCTTCTTGCAAAGAAAACTACAGAAAATAACAATACAATAACACTAAAATAATAATATTTTAACAATTAAAATTATCTCAAAACATCCAGCACTACCATAATTTTTGCCAGTATCAAATTCTGGTTTAAAGCCTCCATTTTGAAAAGAGAAGCATTTTATAGGCTTTTTTAAACTTAAGACATCTGACTCATGAAGTAGTGGTTCAAGGGGAAGTTGAGTCCAAAGATTTGATGTTGAGCAAAAACCCAAAATTTAGCTCCTAAAAATAAAATTAAGAAATAAACTGGGTAGCTTCCAAAGGCAAAGCACCCTTAACAAATACATAGCTGGGCATCACAGCTGGTTACCAAGCCCTTTGGATCTATTTAATTTAATTGCTTTGATGGCTCACACATTATTGCTTTGATGGCTCACACATTTTAAGGGTCACATTGGAGGCTTTCTGGGCTCCTACATAGAACTCAGTTATTCACTGCAGCAGGTGGAAGGTAGAAAATGGATGCCTAGATTTTTCAAGTCCTTTACCTGGTAAACTGGTCTCTTTTAAATTCTCCATCTGATCAGAAACTTTAAAGTGCATTCTAAAGAAGTTTCTAAATAGTTTCATTTCTCTAAACTAAATAGTTTTATTTAGTTTTTAAATAATTAAACAAAAACAATTAAAAATTAATTTCAAGAAATTCCCTAGAGCAGTAAATCAGTAAAGGAATTTGGCAACTGCCAAGGCCCACTAAAGTTACAGATAAAGCAGTTATATCATCTAAAGACAAATAGAAATAGATCAAATAGCTAGAGTTGTAGAATGAAGTTTCTCCTTTAGAAAGGGTCATAATGGTGTCATTAATATAAAAATTAAAGGTACAAGAATAGATCCCTGTTTATCTCCTTTAAAAAAGGGAAAATGTGGATAGGTCATTGTAATTGCCACTAATTTATGTGATAGTATTTTAATATAAAAATTATCAGCCTGAAAAGGTGGTAATCAATGGCTATTATGATTTCTTCTAAAGACTCCAATGAGAAATAGAATCTCAATCAAAGCAACATAAGGATGCTTTTATGAGGGCTGAAACCTGCCTACTTTGGGGTCAAGATGTTTTCCAGGTTCATCCAAAGTTTATAATAGAAAAATTTAACATAACAGTTGCCAATTATTGCCAAAAGGCTGACTAATTGTTGATAGGATTGTGCCTATCATCTTTCTTATATATATTGGGAGTGACAGAGTTCACCCACCTCTTGGGAACTAATACTAAGTGGTTAATAGTGGATAAAATAATACAGATGCCTATCAGTTAGAAATTATTTTCAATAATTCTCTTTACCTTAGGATTTACCAAATAAGAAATTAATTTTTGAACTTATGTTGATAAAATTGAGGGTCATTCAGGAGTGGTTCAGATAATTGAGGCCTATGAAAGTTACCACCAAATGGACTCTCATTAAATCCTGAAAATATTTGGTCCCTAGGAAGATTATGTTGTTGACACTAAAGCTGGATTTAACTGACAAGTAAGAGACAAGACACCAGAACAGATGGTTAACTGTATTTTGTACTGCTTGTTGGAACCTAGGCTAATTTAGTGACTTTTGTTTTTTTCTCTCTCAAATACTCCTTTTGTATTCTTTGATGAATAAATGTTTCTCAGAAGGAAGAATCATTACAGAATTGGGTATTTTGGTAAACTGAAATTGCCTTGGCTAAGGCTTAAGAGTTTGTCAAGCCAAGGTTTGGAATATTGATTTGAGTTTAATGAAAGGGAATTTGATTTGCAAACAATCCAGTATAGAGTTCATGATTTGCAAGAAACATTTTTAAATTAATAATTTTATTATGCCAATAATGGTTTCAAAGGATTGTCCAGCACGTCAACAAATTGTAGACCAATGACCAATAATTTAATGGATCACACTGAATGAGAGTATTTGTTAAATGATGGATCTGTGTGAATTTGTGAACATTAACAAATAATTGAGTTTTCTTGTATATATTGCCTAAGATATGCACTAGCAATTTGATTTAGTAACACTTTTAAGATCCAGTTAATGGACCACACTATTCTGAATTTGAATCAGAGTGAGGTGAATCTAAACATTATACAGAGAGTTTATATTATCTTGTGCATACTGTAGTAATATCCAACTTCATCCCTGAGGTTGTTCCAGATGGGTATAATCTGGATACTTAACCCTGAAGAGCTATCTGATTGGTGAATTTAAACCTTAGTCTCCCTGATGCTGTTCCAACATTTTAATCAGTACATCAGACTACAACCTGTTTCCTTAATACATGACAATTATCTCAGTGTTGGGAAGGTGCTATGGGTGAAAAAACACTGAGAACCAAAACCAGGGAGATGTCTGAAAATTGCTTCTTTCCCTTTGAGCTTCAATCATGAATAAATGAATCAGTTCCTTACTTTCATTTTCAAAAGAGAATTTTTAAATTTACATCATTCAAAATCACACTGAACCCATATTTCAGGTAAATACATTAAAAGTACTGTGAATTCATGTGTTCCTTTATAACTTATACATTCTCTATATATTCTCTAATGGAATAGTAAAAAAAATTGCTCCCTTTTTCTCACCACTGGGTGTCTTTCTGTTTTATTTTGAACATTATAATCTTGTAAGGATGAATCTATTCCTATATTCACCGCTGACTTAAATTTTTAAAGAGAATGCTGGAAAAATTGCCTATGTGCTGTCCCTTTGGTATCATCTTCTGAGCATTTCACTGGTTTAATAAAGGACATCTTAGTTTCCAGTTTCCATCTTGGTGTCCTGTCATGACATTGCAGAAATGTGAATAGATAAAATAATGGCTTCAAAGATATACTGTCCAATGGAAAATCAAGTATGATGATTATGATAATATTCTCACCTAGGCAATTAGTGATGGAGGATGCCTTGTGTACACTCCAACTAAACATATATACATACCATACATTTATATATACTTGTCACAGAACACTGAAGTCAAGCAACATCTGCATATGTAATATGCACTTGCTGGAGAAAACTTAATGCTTTCTATTGGGAGACATTCAATCTGTGTATACTATACTGTTGAAATGTAAATTAGTTTGCTGAAAACAATGAAGTTTAAAGACCTTTTATAGCTGAGTGTGCAGTTAGAGGATATGATTATTTGCACAGCATGCAAACATTTTAAAAATAACCAATATTTATTCCATTCCCCTGCCCCTACTGCCCATTTTTTTGCCTTTACATGCCACAAGAAATATGAGTTAGCAGAGAAAACAGCTTAGCATTGCAGTTTGGGGGAATTTGGGGAGTTGCAGGGGCTTAATGAGAGCAATACGATGGGGCTAAAATACATGTGTGAATCATTGGCTGCTGGTTGTTTTTCCTCTATAGTTCATCCTAAGTTAGATTTGTCATAACGAGAGTAGTTCTCAAATATAAAGACCATTTCATAATCTCGTAAGTAACGGATATGTTGGGGATAGCAACAATAGTTTCATTATCTTTAATTTGGCTTTTAATTTGGATAGAAAAATAGCCAACTATTGCAGTTGTTTGAAGAATGAGTTGCAAGAATTTGAAGTTGAATAATAAAGTGAATTGAAATACTATTTCTTCCTCTTTAAAGTTAAAATTGCCTCTGAAAGAAAAACCACACTTTACAATTATTTTGCCTCTAGAATGATTATTTCACCTGTTTTAAAAAGCGAACTATAATTGTCATTTTTATTCAGGCTGATGTGAAGAGGTGGCATAAAACTTTAGTGCAAATCTAATAATAGTAACTATGAAGAACACAACACTTTGACATGGCTCTGCATATAAAAAGAGCTAGATTGGAATATTATTGCTTGAGCTTTTTTCCTGTTCAACCTGTAGCCAAACTAAGAGTTTATTTCTATAGGTACACCATTTCATAAAAATGTTACATTAAAGAAATACCATTTTAAAGAGTGTCAACAATTAATGCACACCTAATGCAAACCTTGTTAGCAATCTGTATGAAATTAACAAAGTGATTTCTTTTTGTTATACCATATAATGCAAACATTTTAATTTTGAATTCTATTTTACTTCATCTAGGGCAATATCAAATCCTTGCTTTGCAGATACACTTAGCTTTTTTCCCTTCTTCTTCTTTCCCCCAGGCAAAAAATCATGCAAAACAGGGAATAAAAGAGGTGAAGAGTAAGTTGAAACACAAGGTATGTGGCAAAATTTGTACTTTCTTACCTTGTTTCTTTCCTCAGTTTGAAGTATATACCTTATGAATCCCACAAGATTTGTGTTTTTAATGACTTTTGAAATATGCTTAGCCCTTTGTTCAACAATGAATTTTTTATAACAAGCCCTCTGGCAACTCTGTCATTCTGTGCATCTACTTGAATAATCTCTTTATTGTTTGCATATTTATCATGAAAAAAACAGAAGTCTTCAAAGATCTATTAACAGGATGTATGTTTTCATAAAGCTGATTACTTTGATGTCACAATTGAAGCCTTTGCTTCTAGCTGAGAATTTAAGGCAAGTGACTTTTACCAGAGAAATATAACTCAACAGGAATAGTTGTCTATTTAGGTTTCATTGGTTCAGTAAATAGTGGCATTATTTTAGTACCCTAAGCCTTCCAAGAGCATGATTTAAAAGTATGAGAGGCATCATATCAACCCTCCACATATTCAGATATGTTTATCTCCAATATTCATTTTTAAATCAAGTAGTTTGAGCACTATTTCACTTTCTCCTCAGGTATCAAGGCTCAAATGTATGAAAGGAATTTTGTTTTACTTGATAGCCTCAACATATTTAAAAATTATATGGTAGTTGTTACTCCAGCATTTAAATCTTTTAGGTGACCAAATTTTTAATGGTGTATATGTGTTTAACTAGATATAGAAATATGTAGTTACAAACATTTTTCAGTCTCAATTTTCTCTGTAGGAAAGAGAAGATGGCTATGGAATTTGTAGCTCAGGTTTTTCACAATACGCTCCATTCTGTACCTTTCATAATTCTTCAAGAGAGAACACAGAAAAAAGGCGACTTGCACAGGTAATTAAAAATGTTCTCTCTTTGGATGTTGTTAACAAACACAAGGTATTTGTTAATCAAGATGAGGAATGTACAGCAGTAATAAGCATTGTGAAGCCTCTATCCTTGTTCCCTGACCCCTGCTTATAAAACATACAATGGGAACATTGCTTTCTCCAAAGCAAACCATGTTTTAGCATTATTTTTATTTATATGAATGTACCTGGGTCTCACATGAGTTAAATAGACAGGGCTAGAAAATAAAAACAATGGCTAGTTAATTTTAAAATTTGTCTACCAGCTCAGTAAGTAGGCAAAAGTAACAGAGATGTTATAAACCATCTTTTATATGTTTTCTTCTGTTAATGCATTTAAAAATAAATAGCCTACTCTTTTGTAGCCATTGAGAACTGTTCTCAAAATGGCAAATGTGCCCAGTGGTCCACAAAAGGTTGTTTAATAGACACACACACACACACACACACACACACACACACACACACAGTGCCACTACACAGTGCCACTACACAGTCATTAGTATCCAACCTATCTCAGATGTATCCAAACTGGCACTTCACCTTATGAATAAATTGTTTAATAATGGAGTTGGCTTTCAGAGTTGGGTAGCATGTAAATTTAAATAAATAAATAAAAGAAACTGCAATGAAAATGTAATTTATTTAAATACTGTGTGCTTTTAAAGAAGTGTTTCCTCTGTAAAGGCTAGAATTGTATTTGCCTAGGACATGGAAGGCTTGTCTCAGATTCATTTAGCTTGTTATACAATTTGCAGAAAGAATCTAGATTAATGGCAATTCTTATGCAATATTACCATGAATTTCTAACTTTTGGTAAATACTGCATTTAGATATAAATGTTGACAAAACTTATTTTAGTGTAATCTAAGTGCTGAAAGAGTATCCTTCACTTTGAGAGATATGAACATGAAAAATTTGACCATTTGATTTTTGATAGTTGATGAATTTTGGATTGCCTGCGAAATATAGACAGACAGACAGACAGACAGACAGACAGACAGACAATGCATACATACACATACCTACATGCATACATACATATACATACAGAGAGAGAGAGAGAATTCAGAGAGAGAGGGAGGGAGAGAGGGAGAGAAATACAGAAATATATATAATTTATATAAAATTAACATATATATTGCAAAACTCCTGTAGGATTTTCATATGTATATCTAGCAGCATCAGAGCATGGGATTAGGTTCAATGCCAGGTGGAGGAGGTATAGCTTCCTATCAAATTCTTAGTCCAAAAACAATCAACTCAAATGTAGACATATTAGAATTTTAACTAAGCAAGTTGGTTATATCTACTGTTAAAAAATAATCCTTAGTGGCAAACTGCTGCATCTGTAGTTTTCTTGGTGTCAGTAAAAATACAATATACCATGTTTTTCAGAAATCTAAGTTCTATAAATATGTAAAATATTGAAAACTGAGAAAGCAAATAATACATGTAAAGAGTACAGATATATAGTTAACACTTTTAAGCATTGTGACAACTAGCATGCCATTTTCTAGCACAAGTTCACTATGTTGTATAAATGGAAATGGCAAGTTGTATATTTTAAATATACAGCTATCTTCTATAGACGTAAGGAACAATTTCTAGATTTAATTTGGATTTTCACATGGATTTATTTCTGTATGTCCCTATATCTAAGAAAAGATTTTCCAGTCTGTTTCCGGCACTTTTAATTGTTTAATAATAGAACCTGTGCATGCTACATTAATAATGAGAGCAAAATGTTCCAGAATAAGATAGGTTGACATGGGTAGATTGTGAGCAATTTATAGATTAGAGCAGTATATGCTAGATCCTATATAAAAACCTCTCAAATTTTAGTGATTGGCTAATGATCAGTAGATTGTACTGTTAAAGTAATAAGCTGTGCTAATAGATTTCAAATAACATTGGTGAGCTTGAATTCCTTGATATGAATTTTGTATCAAAAAAAAGGAAATCTGGAAATCTCCAGTAGCTAGTTAAATGATCTGCTTATTCTATTGCATATATCAATTACTAATTAATGTATTTGTGTCACTTTTCCTAATATAGAATTCTATTCAGCCACATTATAATAGTTGTACTGAAAAATGTTTACCTATGTAGATTCTATAAAATTACATACTGTACGTTTTTCTATGTAGTCCTGGCTCTGCAATTGGATTTGAAGGCACAGTATTTCTCCCTTTATATTTGTTCAAATAAAAAATATATTAGTAATTTAGGGCCGATATGTTGGCCTTATAAAACAGTGCATAAAAATCAAACTCATCTTCCTGCTGGAAGATCGTATTAATGCTGTTTTTGACATTGTCATTAGTAATATTGTCATTTTTCTAGAGCTGAATATGAATATGCTTTCTACCCCAACAAATAATAGTTTTTATGCCAGTCTGCTAATTAGTTTGGTTATTTCCTATTTTTTTGATGAGGTTTAAATAAATGTCAAGGGTACAGACATGGAGATCTCCCAATTAGGCTTTGCATTTGTAAAGCCCAGCCCCTTTGCTTTTGTGTGAAGATGACAGTTCCAACTGCAGCGTCAGTCTAACAGGGCTCAAGGGAGAGGGTACTTCGCTGCTTTTATTGAAAACAAGGCTAGTTTGGCCCAGTGAGAATATTGGCATTGGTCAGAGTGCAGATCAGTTGTTAACAATGAATATTTACTAATCTCTGTCACAGCCAAGATCAATTGCTCTCCCCCACCTCCATTTCAACGCTAGAGCTCAAAAATCAGTGCATTAAAATATGCATAGATTTTACACATGCACATAAAATAGGCATAAATAACTGTATTGCCAAGGCTTTCATTTTACTAACTTCTCCATTGTATGTGCACCAGATTGCTTCTGCGTGCAACAGGGAAGAGATCCCACACTATGACAGCACAACTGATCTTCACCTAAGAAATTCTGAAAAGAATTGTTCTATTTCTGTAAGACATGTGCCAGCCTCCTCATAGCTATTCTAGTCTGTTTGGTTGTGGGTGTGCAGAGGCGGGAGAGGGAAAATAAGAAGGAAGAGCTTAACTGCATTGCAAGTCAAAATTAACAGATGGATTGCCCTAAGCAGGGGAAAAGCCACCACAACAAAATCTAATGAAAGCGGCAGGCTGAGGCTTTTTATTATTAATCCTTATTAAAATCTTGAAGTGTATTTTACAGTTAACCCTTTCATCCCTTCATGGTTAAATAGTAATCCCCCTCCCCTTCGCCTTAACTTGGATTGAACAGAACACTTTTTAAAAAAAGGAAATGACAGGATTTTTTACATGTCAACAGTTTTCTCCCACTTTGCCCTTTCTTCCTTTTAATTTTTACCTTTCTTTTTTAATGCAGCCTGTAAAAAATGCCTTAGATTGTAAAAAGTTTGTTTCAGTTTGGGATGGTTTTCTTGAGTATCCATAGATGCATCAGCTAGATGGATCTTTTAAAATGCAGGCCTGTTTCCACAGCATTGCTTTCAAGTAAATATTTCAGGTAGAACAAAGGTAGGTATATTTGAGGATGTGCTAATTATCCTGAACATCATTTTCAACCCATTTTAAAGAAGCCTTTCATGTTTTGAAAAGATACTGGCTTATAAATCTTTGTCACACATTTGGTAGCATCCTGTGTAACACTGCTAGGAACATATGTTATAATGAAGAATTAGCTGTGCTTCCTTGTTTTTTGTGAAATGTATGATGTATATGTATGGTTTGTAACTCAGGGTATACAGTTACTTGTAAGTGTCTTATTTTTTTAAAAAAATTACTTTGTACAAAATACAGAGTTTTTTCAGAAATTAATTGAAAGTGAATTATTTTTCACAAAGATGTTATATTGTATAGGCAATATAATTTGTTGCTGAAACATAACTTCAGGAATGGTCATAAAGCTATGTAATGAACTTAAAATAAACGTGAAATATTCTTAGCAAATCCACTTTGTAGTATAGAAGCCAACCAAAAATATGGTCAAAGTACTTGTGTATGTTGCTTTACCACTGATTTTTTCCCATAGAGCTGCTCCAAATGAACATTTTCTGGTGCTACTTTTGAATTAATCATATGCATAATCAAATTATGGAATGTCTTTGAACCAATACAAACCACTTGCCTTGGCAACCCTGTGTTCGTTGTGGCTGCTGTCTCACTGTGGTTGTGAGTCTCCTGCAGGCTGACAGGTTGACTGTTTCCTGAAAGCAGGCTGTCCCCTACAGAAGAGAGCCCCCTTTGTGCTTTATCCACCCCCACCATTTCCAACCTCAGAGATACAGTATAGGTTGTGTCCTGTTCTATCTGTCAAGATGGAATGAACTGAACAAATAGGGTTCGGTCTTGGCAACATTCAGCCCTGTTGTGAATTGAAGGTTGCATGCAACAGATTCAGAGCAAAATGGAACATCATTATTTTTTTTGAAATGAAGAAATACCTGAGAATGAGATTCGGCAGAGCACGTGGAATCGTATTGAAGTTCAGGCACCCGGGCATTCCTTTTTCCTCTGTTTTTGCCTTTTGCAGGACATTCTACATAATGCTAGGGCACCATTGAGCTCTATCTAGCAATTTAAGTAATGTGAATAGAATATTGTATGTGACAGATGTCATGCAGAGTAACAGTGAGCAGTGTTGAATCGACAGTTTGGTAGTCTGTTTTAGCTTAAGATTTCTCATAAAAAAGGTAAATTCAGTCAATTAGCACATTGTTTTAGACAAAAGAATGCATAATCCATAGATGTGCTTGGCTCTGTTAGTTTTTGTTTGAAGAGACAATCTTTTGTCTTTCCTTGTCAATTATGATCCATCTATACTGCAGCCTGCATATCTTTTAATTAAAAATAGAAAATGTAGGCTGCACAAAATTACGAGACTGCCCTCTAGTGGTATAAATGATTTTTCAGTCAGCATGTAAAATAATTCTTCATACATACACAGTCCTGTATCTATAGAAAAGCAAGTAAAAAGCAAAACAATATTTTTTAAAAAAGCTTATAAT